AAGTTTTCGTGGGTACTTACATGTATGGTATTCAGCTTTGTTCGGGTATTTTCCCACGTCATTATAGTTGTGCTTTTAAAGTTGTGGCAACGTTTTGGCAGAATCTCATCTGCCATCATCAGGCTTCTGTATTGTGTTTGTCTGTGAGTCAGACTTTCACAGCTGTTTCTGTTTTAAATTTGGGGCTAGCCTACTGCTGTGCCAGAATGGTTTTTTCTTCATCCTGATTGGTTGGGAGTCTTGGTCTGTGTTTATTGGTCTTGGAGTTTGCTGTGTTCTGCTTGATTGGTGTTTCTATATATATATATATATATATATTCTGAGGTTTTCGGGGGTATTTGTATGTGGATCTTTGGTTATTCGGGTTTTCTCCTGCGTAAAATTGGAAGTATTTTGGCGACGTTTCGACGAAATCTCATTCGTCATCTTCAGGCTTGTGTCTTCGGCTTTGTGCTTCTTGGAGTAATGTAAGCTTGCAGCTGTTTTTTCTTTTAACTGCCAGTGGGAGTGCGACTTGACTGGGTGGGGGCTTGGCTGTGTTCTGATTGTTCAGAATAATCAGAGAAGCCATAGAGATAGAAAAACACCCACACAGCATGAATAAACAAGATGATACCTCCCGCCTACCAGCCATTTGGAAACCCGCCCTCACTAACAAACGAGTACCTAACATGAAGAATGACACCAGACCCACACCCACGAAGGCCACACAAGATGCTATCACCACACTTCCACGTAAAAAGCAGATTCACACCCACACAGATGATGAGACACGACCACGGACCAGAAGCCCTACCGCAGCTGCATCACTACCCGCTTCAAACCCCTCCGACCCATACATGAAGTGAACTGACGCCCAACATGAAGATGTGGCACGACCACAAACGCGAAGCCAAACAACAGGATCACAGCTCACCAGCTCAAATCCCCCGACAATTAATACTAACCTGAACATAGCCAAGCCCCCACCTGAACAGAACACACCCCCAGCCAATCAGAACACAGCCAACCCCCCAACCAATCAGATCACAGCCAGGCCCCCAACCAATGAGAACACACCCCCACCCAATCAGAACACAGCCAAGCCCCCACCCAGTCAAGTCGCACTCCCACTGGCAGTTAAAAGAAAAAACAGCTGCAAGCTCACATTACTCCAAGAAGCACAAAGCCGAAGACACAAGCCTGAAGATGACGAATGAGATTTCGTCGAAATGTCGCCAAAATACTTCCAATTTTACGCAGGAGAAAACCCGAATAACCAAAGATACACACACACACACACACACACACACACACACACACACACACATTTGTAACTGGGAACAAACTGTTTCCACAATACCATGTAATGGCAATGCAGAAACCATTATTATTTTGTGGAGTTTAATGACAAATTATGATTTTCTCATTATTTGGAAAAGTCTAGAAAGTTTGAAATGAAAACATGAGAACTGCCTTTTCCATTTCTGTACCCATTTGGCTTTTCAATAAAGTTATACTCTTGGAGAAAAAATGTCCCAGGAGATTCTTTTGATGTTTAATGCAGTGGGGTGGTTGACAGGAATATTGTTTGTTGTGAGCTTCTGCATTGAACCTAGCATTGGGTACTGAGGAAACTGGCTGTCCTTGTGGTATTTCTGCTGCTGTTATTAAGGAGCTCCTGGCAGCTTGTAAAAGATTGGGGTATTATCTTGCTTGAAGCTTAGAAAAAAAGGGGGAGGGAGAAAGAACTGCAACAGTTCATCTTTTATTAGAAAAATCTTGACTGTTTTCTTTTTTAAAAAAAATCAATAACTGCCACAAATACCCAGCACTATAATGCTGTTCCATAATTAATACTTACACCATCAAACTCTATTAAAAATTCTGTTTTTAAACGTCGGCTAGCATCATGTTCACCTTCTCTTCTTTCACACAATAAACTATCCACTTCATCTAAAATATAAAGATAAGATAATCTTTATTGTCATTTTTTACTGTGAGCACACTGGCACACATTAGAAATGAAATTCTGTTGCCTGGTCTCAAAGTATATGCATATATCTACCCATACCCATACTTAACACACACATACACATGATATACATACATATATATCTATATCTATACCTATGTGCATCTATCTATCTATCATCTATCTATCTATCTATCTATCTATCTATCTATCTATCTATCTATATATAAATAACATAACAGAAAATATGCAATCAATATTAAATGTATACTTTAATATAGTTTAAATTTGTTTATATAATTCAATACTCTGTATGCTAAACAGCATATATTGATCCAGAGCTCTTAAATAAGTTGTCAACATTTTTAGGAATGACAAGAATTAAATGTTGTGGTCCAAATTATTAATATATTATCAGTGCAGCACTTAAAATCTAAGCAAAGTACCTAACTAGGAAACCCACCAGGAAATCTTAGGATAGGAGGCTAGTCCAAGAAGATTTGAAAAAAAGAGAAGGTAATGGGAATCCATTTCCATACATTGGTTAAGAAAATTAACAAGTACCCGTAAAGATCATTGATTGGGGAAAATTTTACTTTTTTAAAAAAAATCATGTTCTCTAGTATGGATTATTAGTACTTGTTATAAATAGTATAAAATAAAGTTAAAACTGTTGATTAAGAACATATTATTTCTGCAATGCAACTCAATTTAATAAAATGGAGAATGAAGAATATGTTATTCTCAATTAAAAGACTATTTTTAAAAGGTTTATGCTTTAAATTTAAGTCAAAATTTTGACTAACTTTACCAATAAAAATGATGGAAGGCTGAAGTTCTCTAGCTACTGCAAAAAGTGCACGAACTAGCTTCTCTCCTTCACCAACCTAAGGGAAAAAAACAAAGAAGGTACCCACCTCAAATTGATTGAATCATATGCTTCACAACTGGCATATTATCAGTGGATACTAAAACACAACTAACTTGATCTATTCTATTCTCTGACATTAAATCTGTGTTATTATATTTACTAAACTATAATCAAATTAATTTTTAAAAGTTCATTAAAGTTTTCATTTCTATCTCCCTCTACAAGCCAGGCACACATAAAAAGCTTTTTTATTCAGGAGGCTGCTCCAAAGAATGTGAAATGGAAAAGGTTTTAAAAGAAAATGGGGTTTTGCAAAATTACTATATACTTAATACTCCAAGCTAATAACAAAAGGAAAGTACAGAATCATACAATAGCAAAATAGCAACCTCAAACAAACATAGCAATTAAAAAAAGCAAAATATGGAAATTATGTTATAAAACTCCAAAATCTCTGACTGTATTGGAGGAGCTTTTCTTGCTTTTTCTTGAAAGAAACACTAAATTGAAATATTAACATAACACGTATTAACAATCTGTTGCTGCCAACTAACACAGATATGTCCTTCTAGCGGCAGCTAATTCTTTTACCCAATCTCTATTCCTGAAAAACCCATTTCTGGATAGATTCACAGTTCTGGGGATATAATGGAAAAGGAATTACCTAAATATTTATTTTTGTAGCACCATGTCCAAGAGGTGATAGATGATAGATAGATAGATAGATAGATAGATAGATAGATAGATAGATAGATAGATAGATAGATAGATAGATAGACAGACAGACAGACAGACAGACAGGGATAGGTAGATAGATAGATAATTAGATGATAGATAGATACATAGATAGATAGATAATTAAATGATAGATGATAGATAGATAGATAGATAGATAGATAGATAGATAGATAGATAGATAGATAGATAGACAGACAGTTAGGTAGGTATCCATGCAGGCATTTTTCAGAGGGACATAGATGACTTAAGAGGGGGAATGGAAGATACTGAAAAATTTTCTTCCAAGATCTTTTATAGTACAGCTTTGAAGTTTTACATATTCCAGTGGAATAAGACACAGATGTAGATGCAAAATTAGAAACAGTTTAGAAACAGATAAACATTATTTCCAATGTACTGGAATCTGGTGCAAATATGGCTCCATTTATTTTTCCCCAAAACTTCCTAAGATGACCCTTTAACCACAGCCAAAATATAATACTGCTACTCACATATTTTGATGTCAGACTTGCAGCACTTATGTTAAAGAAGGTTGAATTTGATTCTGCAGCCACGGCTTTGGCCTATATCAAAAAAAATAAATTGGTTTAAGGCTGCAATATAATACCAAGCATGTAACATATTTCAGCAACGTAATTATCCTTATTAGCCAGAGTTCTGCTGAATTGGACACATATGTGCCCAGTAAATAACTAAGTATATATGTTAAAGGAAATTTCAATCTATCAGCACTTCAGCAATTTACCGTATGTTATACCTTTTAATGTCTGCTAATATAGTTCACAGTTTACTTTTTTTTTTGTAAGATACTGTGCAATTCTGAGCATTTTTCTAATTGGAGTACCCATGACCCAACATGATACTACTCTTATCCCAAAATGATAGGAAAAAATATTCCTTGGATACACATATAAAATATAATGTCCAAACACTGTTTCCATAAGCAATATGCCAAAGCACAAATAATATTTTCGGGCTAAGGGGAGGGGCAGAACAACTAAAATGAATGAGCTGGGGATACAAATGTGCATAAATGTGATTTTTTTATTTGTTTGGATTAATGGGAGAAATTTTGAGGATTTTGAAAGAAATAAATTATCTTAAACCTCTTTTAAATCTCACATGTTTGTTTCCTGTCTTAAAATGACAGAAAAATACACTGCCAATTTTCGCAAATATAATCAGATTTAGAGGGGATACTGGGGGAACAAAAGAGGAGATTACCTGCCTGCCCATGTGATAGAAGAAAGCAGTTCTCTTACCAGCATTGTCTTCCCATTTCCTGGTGGGCCAAACAACAACAATCCTCGTGCAGGAGCCCTAAGTCCTGTAAACAACTAGAAGACTGACTGAGTTACATTTTGGTTCATGGCATAATTTGAACTCTTCAGCCTATAAACTAGTAATTTTATAGCTGAGAGAAGACATTTATAATGTGTTTTGCAGTAGATATGGATCAAAATAAGAGTTTAGGAAAAATAAGCCAGAAAGGACCACAAAAAAATCAAATAATACAAAAGAAAATTGTGAAACTAATGCTTAAATTACTAAATTTAAGCATTAGTTTCACAATTTTCTGTTGTATTATTTAGGATATATTATTTGGAATTCACCAAGCTATAAGTGCTATAGAAACCAATACTTTCTCAAATGGAATTAATTAATTTTTTTACTATTATAAATTGTTATTCATTTTTCAAGCAACTAACGCTCTTATAGCCTGTTATCCAGGATTGCAGTTCTACGTTTTCTTCACAAAGTGTATTTTAATAGTCAGGTGGGAGCCATCTGACGGAAGGAAGAAGAAACAGCAAAACTGCCTCCAATTGGCTGTTCTGGCTAATATATATACTGTGGATTTATTTTGTTAATTGTCTTTAGTTTTTATCTTAAGAGAATGAACATGTAACATACAGAGTATATTAGTTGGAGTGATTATATAAAAATATATATTTTATTATAGCATCAGCAATAAACTTGTCAATTTTTCTTTCCTGCAATATCTTTAGACATATCTTAAAGAGAAAATTAGCTACAATAGATGTAAAAATGTGATATACAATAGTATATAAATGAAACACAATGGGGATCTTTAGACTTTTGTTGTGGTACTTTCACAACAGACCAAACATTAATAAGAGAAGACTGCAATAGCTACCCATCAGCAAAATTCACAACATCTCAAAAATTCACACCAAATGGATACAAGCAGGTTTTTTTTAACAAACAATAAAACACAAGAATCATTCCTTATAAGTAAATATTAAATACATGAATTTCAGAATGCAATCAAGATTAATTTAATCTTGATTGTGTTCTGAAATTCATATATTTAATATTTACCATTTGATTTTTAAAACCAAGAATATGGTTTCTGATGATTTAGGTTCCATTTTCCTACCTTCTATTATTAGAGATTGATTGCGATGGTAAGCATTTGTTCATTCAATTGCCAGAGAATTGAACCTGGACTGATTGTACTTAACTACTTATCAACAGTAATATTATTTCAATTGTCAATTGATGCTACAAATGCAAAATCTGAACTCTGGTGCCAAAATCTACTGAAACATTAAAAGCCCAGATGAAAAGATGTCTTTGAAAATGTGCCCATTGTTTCCTCAAACTGCAGCAGAGATAGGAGGGGTAGGGGGTCATTAAGTGTGACCATTTCACTTAATGCCCATAACTACTTGCAACAATAATGGGCAGGTTCCATTACAGTCATAGGTCAAAGATCATCTGTAGACCGATTGTATCTTTAATATTGGTTTCAAGATACACTTTGCCTGCCAGCATACTAAACAGAAGGGCAACTTTCAATTTCATTAGGTTTCTGATTCAGCTCAGCATGTTCACTGGCAGAATAGAAGAACTATTTTGCTAGTACTTCCACTCTATTGTAGATTCCTAGAACACAAAAATCCGGTACTAAAAATAGAGAGACCATCTGAAGAACATGGAAGAGTCAGTGGTAGATGTTGCATATGAAGAAATGATTAAAATTGTTTCTCCCTCCCTTCCTGGGTAAGGAGGATTCTCAGCAGAATGTCATGTAGAAATGGATGATACCCATAGAAAGGGCATATCTAATATTAACTATTTTTGCTGAAAATTTAATGTTTAAATTTTACCACTGAAGACCTAGCAGCATGAATGTATAGCAGGGGAGTAGATAATATTCTTTTTAGCTCATTATTGAGCATGTGATTAATTTCTATTTATTAATCTATACAACACAATCAATGTATTGGACCAATAAAAGCTAAACATTTTAAGTAACTGTAAGAGTGCCAATTTTACTCCAGCATCTAATCTAATACTCCAATTGGACTTTGATACAGAAAAATCATGAGTAATATTTACACATTATATAACAAATATATATGTTACTTTAATATATTCAAAAGGCTAAATTTTAAAAAATCCAAGTAAAATCTACCAGATAATGAAAACATTGAAGATGTAATAAAACAAGCCAGGAAACAGATTGCTTACTTCAGGTCTAAGTGAGGGAAGGATAACAATTTCTTGCAGTGCCTGTTTAGCCAACTCCTGCCCAGCAATATCATCAAAATTGACAGATGGCCCACTAACAAATACAGAATAGTAATTACATTTTAATTACACAATAGGCATCTCATTCTTCCAGAGTGCAGCTGAGCATTTCACACTCTTTGCCTCAACATATTTTCTTTTTTATAAAAAGCTCTCACAGTTAAGAAATTCTCATGTATATTAAATATTATATTTTAAAGAATATTTTCATTTCTTCCTATCCTAATCTTAAACAGATGCAGAAAAAATATGAACATTACTTGCCCTGAAAATAATTACACTTGATTACACTAAAAAACATTCCCACCCCTCCACCCAGCCACAAAATACCACTTACCTGTCTACAATTTCATTGAGAATAAGATTAGCAAGGTTACTATCCACATTTTTTAAAATCTTTGTATCTTTCTTTTTTCGAACAGCAGTAGAAGGAGTAGAAGGCTTGGTGGTTCTATTATTTTTTGGAGTAGCCTAAGGAAACAATTATTTCAAATGTATTTCAATATTATTTTAAAAAGGTATCAGCTTCAGTAATCTAAAGGAAGGAAATTTCCATTCAGCATCTGGCTAATCAGTTAAACAAATCTTTGATATGGCACAAGTTAACTTGACTTTAAAAAAATACAGAAAAAAGTTAATTAAATGTTGCAAAAGATTAATGTAACATTGATTATGTGCCATCAAGGTATTGTCAACTCTTAGCAACCATATATATTTTATCCATGGTAATATAACATACTTTTATAAATTTATAATTTTATAAATTATATATTATAAATGTAATAATCCTTCCTTCCAATGACTAACATACCATGCTGATAAAGAGCAAAGGTAAAATCTGTATAGAACTCTGTATTACCACTTTGAGTTGATGGCAGTGATATTCTAAAAATATTTCTAAAGAAAATGTTTTTTCTGCTCTGAAAATAATAAACCCAGAAGAAAACTAGCTGTATCATTATATCCATTTTCTAACCCTTATGGTTTTAAAATTGGAAAGGAATTTTAAACCCATACCATAAAACAATTTTAAAACCGTAGTCAGCAAAATAAATTGGAACAGATGAATAGTTCTACTCTATTGAGAATAAAAATCTCTGTGTACATGCATACAACACAGACTTTTGCTTAATTTTAAAAATGACAAATATTTTAGCTTTTCCAATAGAAAAAAAGTTCTACTTTTTTATCATTTTGTTTCCTTTTCCATATACTTTTTCATGCCAACATTTTCCAGGCATCTTCTGGCAAGTACCCTAACATCAGTGAAATCATTTCTCACCCCTTATCCTTGGACCAGTTTTGCAACCTAATAGCCAATTTGTAAAATATGGACAGAATCCAGCTATTTCCAATGATAGAAGCCTCCCATCAGCAAAATGGGGAAGAATGCTATATACTGAATTCACTCCTCCCCTTGTTATTTTCTGTCAAATAATTGAAAAGCATTTTCCACTTTTGCAGCAGATAATAACAAGAATGAAACTAGATACAACCACAACCTTAACCAAAATTAAGAATAAAATAACATTAAGTAATCTTTTCCCCTAAAATGAGTTTGGGATTACAGACACACAATTCCCTTATAGTAAATCACAATCTCTACCAGCCTTTCCTAGTAATATTAATAACTGAATTTAAATGCATGCAAAATATGCTATTTATAAAATACAATTCTTTTATTTTCAATCACAACGTTTTTATTTCCTTTTCTATTTCAATTGCAACTTTTCTATTTACAATGACAAATATGCAATATTCTGTGTATAGAAGCTAGTTTCCTACCTTCTGAGTAGCAGCTGAAGGAACTCTAGGTGCAGAAAAATTAGAAACTCCAGTATAACTAGGTGTTCTTTGGTGCCCAGAAAATCCTCCAGATCCAGCCTTTGCCACAGATTTTGAACGAGGAAGTGAATTACTACTGTGAGACAACGGATCCTTCTTTTTCGGAATAGTTCCATTTTCTACAAAGAAAAAGAACACATTTCTTACTACACAAAACATTCAAATCAGCTAGTTGCACGTTTACTTACTTTTAAATTGTTACTATCTATTAATTTAGTTGATTTATATTCACAAAACAACTCTGGATAATAACATAGGGTTGAATCTCACAATACATAATGAACAATAATATAAAAACACTTAATTTAATATACTTATCTATAGCCATTATAGATAAGTGGATAAACACATTATCAATGTGAACAGACCACCTCAGGAACATGATATTATCTTAATAATGTTGCTTTCAGTTTGCACTGGTATTTTGTAAACTTTATTGAGTAGGTTGCTTTGTTAGAGAATTTTAGAACTAAAGCTGTTATCATTTCCTGCAATCACAGCCAACATATCTAAACACTGAGCTATAGTATGTATACTAATAATGTCTAAAACCTCAGAATTCTTATAGTTTTTTTTCAATTTCTTAGACTATTTATAGAAGCACAGTTTTGACCAGGTAGCATACAACTATTTTTGCAGCATTCAAGCAATATGAATTTAGAATGAAACACGGTACAGATTGTCTTCACTTAACAACAAATGGGACCACAAACTCCATTGCTAAGCAAAACATCATATAGCTGTGACTTGCAATTTTACCACTGGCTTCTCCATTGACTTGGCTCATCAGAAGCCAATTGTAGAGCATGCAAATATTGATCACATGACTGTGATATGCTGCAACAGTCATAAACAGCTGCTGGTTGTGGAGCACCAAATCTTAATCATGTGACTGCAGGGATGTTGCAAGAATCATAAGTGCAAGGAATAGTCATAAAGTTATTTTTTCAATACCATAATTTTGAATGGTCGCTAAACAGTAATAAAATGAAGACTCAAAAATCATAATCAAAAATACAGTGGAAAAAGGTAATGTATATTTTACATCTATAGAAGCATGAAAATAAAGTTATAATGTAACTATGAAGACCGATATAAAAATTCTAAAGGAATATATCTTTCCACTACTTACATACTGTACATTCCATTTACCAGTGACATATGGCTCCTTACAGATTACGTCTTGGGAATGCCTCCTTTGATGGCAAAAGATTACCCACCCCTGACCAATACAGTAAAATTTTGGATCTAAGTGGAATTAATTAATACATGATGGACTTTTTTTTTTTTACCTAATGACATTTTCACTAATCTAGATTACTTTATAAAGATTATCAACAAGAAAGCAAGCAGTTAAAATATTTCAGAATATATCCTAGAAAGTTAGATTCGCTCTTCACTTAACATTTATGCATTTATTTATCAAATTTATATGGTAACCTAAGTTGTACTCTCTGCATGGTACACAACTGTCAGTAAAATACATATATAAAAATAAATATTTAAAAACAAAAACAACAGCTTTAAAATGGAGTTAATTAAAACTAAAAATACATGCAAAATATCTAGCACCTCTCAAATATTTTCAGAGTGAATCATAAAGGATTAAAATGCGTCAAACAAATCAAGCAACAATAAAGTTGTCAACATTATTTTCTTTGATATCTAAAAGACAGCAAAGACACCATATAAGATGCCTAGGAATAAGACTCTTATCGGGTAGATGCTAGAGCCACAAAAATATCAAAGAAGTTTATATTAATGTCTGTGGAAGTTACAGAAAAACTAGGGTTCAAGATTCCTGGTTCCAAATAAGAGTTTAAATTCTGTTTGAAAACAGTGAAAAGACAAAGTACTAACTAGGTTTCCAGACAAGCTTCAACAGACAGTGCAGGAGTGGATAACTAAAACTTATTGTAAGCTTGTTTTAAGACACATAGTTGCCTTGAACCGTGAGATACTATATGCTACAAATAAATTAAATAAATAAATAAAACCATGCAATAATCTATTTTAAGATTACACAGAAACTTGCACATCTGCCTCAAACAGTGAAAATATTACACACACTATGGAGCAATAGAATTTGGGTTGGAGGGGGCAAATGATCTTGTATTGAACTTAGATACAAATGTATGTTACAGTGCTTCACCTGATCCAAGTATAAAAATGAGATAGAATGTTTGCCTTTTTCTTGTGTACATATCCTTTCAGTACTATCCGTATGATCATAATATTCAACTCCCAATTTCTGAATGATTTTATGTTAAAAGCACAGCTAATGTGGATTTCAAATCAATTCGCAATTCGCGATGTGATAAAGATACAATGTTTTTCAAAGTGGATAGAAAGTAATGATAAGCTGATCAGAATTGCAAACTGATTTTGTTTTAGGAGGGTGTGCCAAATATTTACTTTGATACAGTAAATCCACAAAAAACATCTAACTATTGGAAGGTGTAATTATCTGAAGGAAAATTAAAAGGAAGAACAGAATAGAAAAAGACACAAAACCTTACTATTTCGGATATGAAATTTATTTGAACAGAAACTGCTTTCCATGCAATCGAGGCTATATGATTATTTGCTTTAAAAAGTATCAATAAAAGTAGTTGCAATTGCAAGCAGTAATGAGTTTTTTCTTCTACAATATAGTGATATGCCAATTCTCATTATGCTGATTCATATATCGCGTTGGTGTCAGAACATCACAAATGAAGTCACACTGTTGCCCTACAAATATAACTATCAAAATATAACTATCTTGCACAAAGCCATGCATAGATATTTGGCAATTCTAGTTACCAGAATGAAGAAAAATACCAACTGTATAAGGTAGTCCTCAATTTATGACCATAATTGAGCTCCAAATTTATGTTGTTGAGTAAGTTTTACCCCCAGTTTATGACTTTTTCTTGCCCCAACTGTTAAGTGAATCATCACAGTCGTTAAGTTAATAACAAGACTGTTAAGTGAATCTGGCTTCCCCATTGATTTTGCTTGTCAGAAAGTTGCAAAGCGGCATCACATGACTCCAGGACACTGCAACAGTCATAAATATGAACCTGTTGCCAATCATCTGAATTTTAATCACGTAACCATGCAGATGTTGCAATAGTTGGAAGTGTGAAAAAAGTCACATTTTTCAGTGCCATTGTAACTTCAGTCACTAAATAAAGGGTTGTAAGTTGAGAATTACCTGTATTCAAATACCAATAGTAATTGTTTCAAGCAAAGCACCACATCACACTAATCGGTTAGTGAGAGTACACTTTTAGAGAGAAATAATTGCCATAAATGTCTTTATAAGCAAAAAAATCAGTAAGAAAAGTATTTATATATTTGATACTATTTGGAGTTATTTCAGAAGCATGTCTTATAAAGAATAAAAATGACTGAAGGTACAATCTACAAACCTCATAAAAAACATAGCAAGTATGGTGGACTGACATTTGAAAATGAGACACAGGGAAATGTCTCTGAGAAAATGCCAGCCCTGAGAGAACTCAGGTAGCAGTATTTATTGAGAAAAAACACAAGCAAAATATACAGTATGCATATTCAGAAAACAATGACCTCAACAGGAGATTACTTCACCAGCATGAGAACACACAATCTTGGAAATTCCCAGATGTTACCTTGCTAGGATGAGATCATACAGCCACGGAAAGTCTCATGGGAAAGTTTGGAAAGTCCCATGAGAAAGCACAACTGTGTATCTTGTACCTTGAACTTTCACCCATTTTCCTATTCCTTCTAAACTGGCAGAATCAAAACAGAATGAGGCACTCTGAGCAAAGATACTCCTACCCCCACCAAGAATGCCCACATCTTCCTAGACTTACTGCTAGTTATACAAAGGCCTTACAGAAAATGATCAATAGGTTATATTACCACAGCAAGGAAATTTCCAAAGCAGCTTAGCCACAAACACAACACACTACCTAATTTTTTCTCTTATTTTCATTCAAAACAGGCTTTAAGAATGCTGAACACCAATAATTTTCTCATATAAATAAACTTCAAGCTGATTTTCTCATTGTTATATCTCATGTACACACACTGACAAAAAAGCCAGGAAAAAATATCCTTCAATAAAAACATATTCTCTGATTTTGCTTTTATAAAAAATAGCAATCAACATAATAAGAGATGTGAATTTTTTTTTAATGAAATCTTATTTTTTTCTAGCACTGCATTTTATAAGGGTCCTATTTTTTTTCCAAAATGCCAAACTTTATGTCAAAACACTAAACTTTAAAACTAATGCCTTGCCTTGGTTTTCAAGACTTAAGAAATGTTAAAAAGTAAGGAAAGCAGTTGGGTGAAGACAACATTAATTCAGCATAGATTAATAAGAATCTTTAAAAGAAAAAACATTTTAAAAATATATTAGGAGCAGGGTATTTATTGCTGCATATTTTGTTTTGATAAGGTAGATACTGAGAGACATCCCCCTAATTAATTAGGTGCTGGGAAAACCAAACCCACCTGACTGGAGATGTCCATTGCGGTATACCAGGTTAGTATTGTCACTACGGACTTCCATTTGCAGCTTGGGAATTTGCTTAACTGCCTGCATCTTCTCTATGCAACAGAACAGAGGAGGGAAAAGGACAAATAAAAGACAAAAAATGAACCAATGAAAGTTACGTATACTGGTAATACTAAAATGATTTTGCCTTTAGTTGGCTTGATAAGGATTAAAGTTACAAAGCTTATATCTAATGTTTACAATGTTATGAAGTCACATCTGATTAATAAAATACAATTTATGTAAAACTGTGAACTGCAGTCAATAACTGCATTATTCAGAAATAGTGAAGAAAAGAACTAGTGGGATAGTTTAAAATGAACGTGAAAAGAATTATGATTTCTTCTACATATCATCTAAGAAAATAACAATTTGTTGGTTCAATTTGTAACCATATTTCATACTAAATTTTGTTAACAAGTATTTGTTTAAGATAATCATTCCATTTTAAGCAGCTAAGTATATTTGTTTTCTACAGGTTATTTCAATTCTATAAATAAGAACATAAGAGCCCTCCATTCTGATCAAGTGAATTTTCCCTAATTAGTAAGTAATTGTTACATAATTAAAATAAAATTACTACTTTTCTAGCAATAAGATTTAGCATTGCATTATAATTATCAGAAATAAATTAGACAGATACAACTCATAAGTAATTGTTCAAAAATTCTAAAACTTCCACATTTCTTACACTAGTTTTAGAATCAGTTATAACCTTTTGAAATCAACAACTTATTAGATATCATCCTGAATCTGACTGTCAGTTTACAACAATATTTAGATTCACAAATAACCTGTTGGTAAAATCATGGTCCTTTTCTTTTTTTAGAAAACAGATCAATACCATCACCCATTTTTATACTTCAAAAATAAAACCAGCCATTAAAAATATCAATAGCTTTTCAATACACATTAAGCTTAGAAATTATATTCTGTAATTACTATTTTGTTACTCAGAAAAATCTAGATTCCTTTTTGATATTACCATGTATTTGCATGCAAAAGAGTACTGCAATATAACTTTAACTAAAAGAGGCATCACAGAAAATACAAATTCAAATTTTAATATATGCATTTTTTGAAAAAAGATTCTTACTCAGCCCTTCCTAAAATCTTAAATAAGATGGCCAAAGTTTAAAGAAACTAAAAACTGTGATACATATCTCACATAGGACAGCTCTGGTGGCCTAGAGATGGAGCTCTTGCCTCACAATCAGGAGGCTGTGAGTTTGATCCTAAGTAGAAGCTAATATTTGGAATAGACTCCTGCTTGAGCAAGGGGTTGGACTCAGTGGTGGGATTCAAAAAAATTTACTACCGGTTCTGTGGGCGTGGACATGTGATTGGGTGGGCGTGGCTTTTTTGCAGCACCATCCCCACCCCATTTTGGGGGCCTTCCTGGCCTCAGAGGAGCCTCCAGGGAGGGTGTTTTTGCTCCCCTGGGACTAGGAAGAAAAAAAATGGAACATAGGAGGTGCACACAGCACCCTTCCACGCTCCATTTTGGGGCCTTCCTGGCCTCAGAGGAGCCTCTGGGGGGGCATTTTTGCTCCCAGGAAGCTTCCCTGGGGCCCAGGAAGGCAAAAAATGGAGGGGGGCTATGCCCCCTCCCTCCATTTTTTGCCTTCCTGGGCCTCAGGGAAGCCACCTGGGTGAAGCAGTAAGAAGCAAGGGGATTCCTGGCACAGCTGTTCATAGGAACAACTGATTGTCAGGAAGTTAAAAAAATACCTTAAGGAGTGGCTGGGTGGGCAAGCATCTGGTGGACGGGGTGAGCGAGCAGGTGAGGCAAGCGAGTGAGCGGTGATGGGCAACCGGGTTGGGGGCATTGCTAGCCAGAAGTTACTACCGGTTCGGCGACCCACGCAAAATCCTTGCTACCAGTTCACCTGAACCGGTGCGAACCGGCTGAATACCACTACTGATTGGACTAGATGACCTCCAAGGTCCCTTCCAACTCTGTTATTCTATGAAAATTCCTTCTCTATGTTCCCTTCTTGTATACTGTTACCCAACAGTACTTATATTCAAAAAGATGACCTTCAGCTGGTCATATCAACACATGGCAAAGATATATGTACACAGAACATCTATTCCATATCATCTACACCAACTTTTCTCAACTCAGAATCAGCAAGAGGTCTTTAAGGTTCTATAAGACATTGTGATTGGAAAAACCAATCTTTTTTTAACAAATGCAATGCTAGCACTCATAATGATGGGGATTTTTACACATCACAACTCAGCTCCTGGCCAACACTTTGCTATTATTGTTAATGTTGACAAATGTGGGTTGTATAGGTTACAAATTAATTGAATTGTGAATTTTTCATATTTTTTGTGAAAAATAGTTATTTAATTTGTATGCACGGATTCACTAAGATCTGAAAATTATTTCAGAGGTTTCTCCAGAGTAAGAAGTTTGAGAAAGACTGATCTAGGACATAATTCATTAAACCTGCTAAATCATTTCTAAAGACTGTATGAAAATTAATCCTTAAACTTCCTTTATTTCATCTTGTGTGTAAGCACTAATTTAGAGCTACTGCCCCTATGCTTGAAAAATATATCTAAACAGTAATGAAAAAGTTTCACTGCCTTCATGTTCATTTCCAAACATAAGTCACAGCACTGATGTTTGCTTGCACATGGAATCTTGACCTCCCACAAGAATTACTGATAACACAGCTGATTGGATATGGTGACTGGTCATGCTGCTAATTATATACTACGGTTAAGAATATCAATGGCAAAACCATACATAGATTTTCAAGCTACTTTCATTTCTAAGTGCTTTCTTCTCTTTAAAAATCCAAATTGTTTATTAAAGAGCTGGGAGATCAATGAAAAGGACTGGATAACAGCTGAAGAATAAATGAAAGAATTTAGGCCATAGATCAGTTCTTTCTGAAGATCAGTTTGAAGTTTGGCCTCATAAGTAGAAAAAAATATTTATTCCTCTACCCCATTATATTTTCACAGAGCAGAAAAGCATTGGCCCTCTTTGTAAGTGACAGATATTATCTCCCAGCTTAAAGGAACTAATAAGAACTCTATTGAAAATATTCTTTTAACCTGGGGAGATCTGCGCAAATAATGAATAATCTGAAATATTCTTTTTTAGAAAAATGATTGATCCGGTTATAACTTCCTCATTCAATATATCTGGATGATTCCAATTATTTGGATTCATGCCAATTGGCTTTCAATAAGAATATGACATGAAGCTACTTTGATGATGACCTTGTCTACAAATTGGATGATGCAGCCATCCTTCAGTGGCTTTCAGACTATTTAACATAGTGTTCTTCTACATCATCTGAATGATGTGGGCCTTGCAATATTGTTTTGCATATTCAAGTCCTTCCTTACAGGCCTAGTTCAAAAGCGGGTGTTGGATCACATTGTCAACATCTACATCATTAACACTAGAGCCCTACATGGTTGTATCCTGTCCCCTAACCTGTTCAGTATTGTCCTGGAGAGCTTCAGAGTAAGATATCATAAATATTACTTGGTGCTCCCTATCATACAACCCCAAGAAAGCAATTGAATTCTGGAAAATTACTTGAATTTGATAGTGGGCTGAATAGCTAAAATTAAATCCAATAAGAAAGGTTTTCAATTGTAAACTGAACTGAACTGTCGGATTGATGTTCAATTTTACTGGAAGACAATAATTGTCTAAAAGCAGGCCAATAGTCTGCAAGTACTATTTTATCTTCACATTAATAAGTGACAAGGATATTTGAAGAGCACCCAGAAGCTTCAGCTGGTACAGAATGCAGCTGCACGAGCAACCTTTGATTCCCCAAGGATGGTGCATATAATACCTCTGCTGTGTGAGCTGCACTAAGTGTCAATTTGCTTCTGGATCCAATTTAAGATGTTGATTATGACCTTTAAAACCCTACATGGCATGGGCCCAGATTACTGCAGAACCATTTTCATCCTATTATGTTGCCTTGTCCCACTTGGTCAGGCAGGAAAAGTATGCTGTGGATCCATCAGTGAAAGAAAGAGATCCTTCTCTGCCTTTGTTCTCATTCTTTGGAACATCCTCCCATCAGAAGTAACGCAGACCACCACTTTGCTTTTTTAAATGCTTGAAGACCTGGCTCTGTCAACTCAAAAATGCTGGGGTACATTTTTGCCTCTTTATCTTATTAGAAACATGTTATATGAGGTAGCCTTTTATATCTGTAACAGCAAAATCAAACAAAGCGGTGCCCTATAGCATCTTAAAAATGTAGCTAAACTTCTATCCTTTGCCATGTCCCGCACTCTAGATTGCTCCAGGTTTCCAGAAAAGAGCAACAGCAATTGGAAGCCTTTCAGGAAAACACTAAAGTTATACCTGTATTTTATAAGCCCCGTGGGAGAAAAAACTCACTATTATCAAAGCTGCAGGTGCAGGAAAGGGTAAGGAATCAACAAAGGTACAATTCTACATCATAGGATTGTAGTTTACATTTGACACCTCATATTTAACAGCAAGTTATTTTAATCCAATATATGATGCAACTGCATAATGTTATTCTTGTTAAAAAGTTTCTGTTTGTCATTGGCTATCAAATATATATTTTTATATATTCCAATCTCACAATTTTTCTGGTCACAGTCAATGACATTTAGAGATGCAGTTTTAAGCAAACCACAGACACAGAAACATACAAAATCTTCTTGGCACCATTCCTCCAAACTTAAAATGTTCTGGTTCTGATTTTGTTTACTGTACTCTAAAGATCCCAACCTTTTTAGTCTCTGAAGTACATTTGAAATTTGAAACACTGTTGAGTCCTACAACAAAATGGTGGCTATGGGAGCCACTTTAATACAAAATGGCTACTAAATCTACCAGACTAATTACAAAAGAAATGTCCAAAAAATACATTGGATAATCAGGAGAAACACGTGGAAAATGCACTACAATTGTTTGAAAGAACAACAAACTGGGAAACCTAAGGATTGTGCGTTTTTTAATCTATATTTCTTAATTAACACTGGCTTCCTAAAATAATCAACATAACTAAACAGATAGTAAATGAGATTTACAAAATCATAAACCATCTGATTTAGGAGCTTTGTCTTTTCTAGGTAGAAATTCTATGTCCTTGTTTCTCCTAATAAATAAGTAATGCCATACATGCTATCCTAGCTTCAGTCCTATGAGACTTAAACCATGTAACATGGATAAATGATTTAACAGCATTTTCAAGAAAACCAGAAGTGAATAAATTAATTGAAATACTGCTATCCCTAGAAGTCCAAAGATAATTGTGATAACTGAAAATGATGATGTGATGATACAAATCCTACCCTTATTTGCATCCTAACTTTTTATCTAAGTAGGTAATTGCAGAGTTTGCCTCGTGAGATCACATTTTATGTTTCATTCCTGGCCATCCAGACATTTTTTGCTGCTATCTAGTTTTATTTTGCTTCAATCTATAAATGCTTTGATTTAAAAGATTTCAATTTATGATAATCTGTCACTGAATTTATTAGTTATTTTGTAAATATGTGTACCCTTGAACTGACCTCAAGATTATTTTGTTCAACAATTTACTACTTTTCTTCAAAGTAATCTGCAGTTAAAATCTATTTAGTTTAAATTTTAGCAACATTTTTCTCTATGAATTTTCTTTCTAAGATGCACTTTATAGTATCTTCCATCAATGCTAATTCTGCACCAACTGCTTAGCCATTTCAAGAAGCAACTTATGTTCATGCTGCATTTTTAAAAGTTTTGCAAAAAAATACCCCCTCACTAGTTCTTCAGCTTCCTCTTTAAAATATCAGGAAACCAAACTATGACAGTATTCCTGCATCAAGTATTCCTGCAACAAGTACACTGATGCAAAATGAAGTCTGTTGATGAAACATATGTTTCAAACGTGTTTTAAAAATTAGTTTTAAATTATTTTTCTCTCAACACATCTTAAACATATACACTACCAGTTCTACAATTTTCTAAAGTAACAACATTAAGTAGTACCTAACAGCTGCAAACGGTCCTTGGCCATTGCCAAATTTGTCATCATTTTAGACTGGAGGCGACGAGCTCGATCATAATGGTCTCCTTAAAGAGAAAGTTAAACATTCAGCAGAAGTATAATAGCAATATCTATCTTATACTCCATCAAAAGTAATTTAATATAAATGATAACTAATAAAATAATATAACACTATATCACTTGGAACAAATGAAACTAGAAGTAACAGGTTTAGCAAGAAACCTCTAGGATGTTACCACATTTATACAGGGTTACAAACTATAGACTCCTAAGAATAGCTGGAGATATGAGAAATAAATATATGTACAATATATATTTTCTGTCTCAAAATACTCCTATGGAAGTACAAGTTTTAGAATTCCTTTTGAAAAGTGATGCAATATGATTACAGATTTCTAAATCTATACCAATATTCTGTCAGAAAAAAGTACTATTGTCCTAATAAAGACTATTAATTTCAGAGAGTAAATGATTATTTTTAAGCATCTTTAATAAAAATTAAAAGTACTTCAAGGTGTTTATTTGACTGGATGTTAGCCTTGTGTCTTAAATTATTAAAGTTAATTATAATGTGTTAACTCACATTATAATTTTTATACAATACATTAACTGTTAAGTATACATTAGTTGCTACCTTAATACCAGGGAATCAAATTTGATCCAAAATTATTTTATGTTACCCCATTTTCCCAGCTAAAACTATCATTAGAAAAACTCACTAAAGCCATAATAACTAAGCCAAAAAATACAAATATAGACTATATGTTCAACATTTTGATTTAGCTAAACAAACAGCTGCTACATACTAAGCTTACTGCTACAAATTTGGCATAAGCTATAACTTTAGAGGATTCCTATTATTCTTTGTCTCTATAACTTCTCCATACAACCCCTTTCAAAAAGATAAAAGACAAAAGACATAAACAGTTGTAAAAGACTCGGGTCTTCAATAATTATTCTGTAATTATTATAATCTATTCATTTATCAATATCCAATTATCAATTTCAATATATGTAACAGCCAATCTAATGTATCTAAGCAGATTATCTAATAATAGGCTGAAATCATTTAAAGTTTTTTTAAACACTAAAAAGCAAAACAAAAACAATAGAATGCAGTACAAATCAATCAGTTATGCAGAATGACTATCAACTGTAACATACACTATTGTAGGATAATATAAGTAATAAAAAATAAAACTGAACACAAACTAAAAATTCCAATATTAAAAAGGAAGGTTTTGCTAGGCAACAAAGCATAGGAACCAGTCATAACTCCTTGGGAAGTGCTTCTACCGCTCCACAACAGAAGTCTCTGCCTTATTTCATCTATGAGAGTAACACAGAACAACAATTGATCAGTCTGAAAGCAATATGAGTGAGAAAATTCTTTTCTCAAATTTTTCAAAGGTTTAAGGATCAAGCCTCAAAAATTTGAATTGGATCTAGAAGTAATACAACAGCCAGTGCAGTGGATGAAGCACTGATATTTATGGTATTTATTTACTTATAGAACTTATACAGTCGACTATCTCATATACTGTAATGATTCCAGGTGATTCACAACAATCCCCAAAAAGTCAAAAAAAAAACAACCAAAAAAAAAACAGCCTCCTAGCTCAAACCTCATCCTAGCTCAAAGCTTGGGAGAAGAGCCAAATCTTCATAGCTCTCCAAATGGCTAAAAAGATAGGCATCCCATGGATCTCAAGAAGGAGGCTGCGCTGGGGCATCCACCAAGAATGCATACCTCATTCAAGGTCCCATCATGTGGCAACTTTTAAGGGGGTGAACCTGGAATGCCCCCATCCTGCCTTAGTAGAAAAAGGAGATATCTCTGGGAGAGGTGGTCGCATAAGGAACCTGGCTGTCTGCCAGCACTTTGAATTGTAACCAGAAAGCAACTAGGACCCAGTGCATCTCATGCAGCAGGATTATTAATCAGATAAACTGTAGGACACACCAAACTGCAATGCCATTGCACTCTGAAACAGTTGCAGCTTCCAGATGGTCTTCAAAGACAGCCTCGTTTAGATTGCATAGCAGAAATCCAAAAGGGAGGTAACTAAGGCATAAGTGACTGTGAACAAGGCCTCCTGGTCCAGATTTTTTTTTTACTATTTATCAAATTTTAAAACCACCCATCTCCCTCCCAGAGGGACAGTGAAATGAATATTTGGTGCACAATATGAATTTGTGCAAGGGCCGCACTGGCCACATTTGCTATCTGTTGTTTTAGCAGGAGCCAAGAGTTGAAGATCATCTTCAAATTGTGCACCAAATCTGTCTGGGGGAGTATTACTCCTTTCAGAATCTGAGATGTCAACTCTCCTTATTCTAAGAGGTCAAAAATCCCCAAGCACTCCATTTTCCTAGGATTGAGTCACAGCTAGTTTGTCTCCATCAAGGCTCTCACAGCCTCCAGGCATTGAACCAGCATCTCAAGGGCATAACTTGTCCAGTGTTGGCTAATGGAGGTGGCTAATAGAGTAGATAAGACCCCATCTCCTTCCTGTATGTACTTTGCTCCTTCTTTCTTCAGCCTGGTTAGTTTTATTTTAATTGGATTTTAAATTTATGAGCCTTATTGTTTTAATGATTTACAGTGTGTTTTAATTAAATGTCTGTAAGCCCCCTTGTATGGGTGACATACAAGTTTAATAAATACAATGCAATTGGGCATCATCAACATGCCGGTAATACCAAAGCTCCTGCTGGCAGATGACCTCTCGCAGTGGCTTTATATAGATGTTAAATAGGAGAGAGACCCAAGTCCTGAGGCTCTCCCATATAACATGGCACTATGGCTGGTCCTCTTCACCCTGTGAACACTACCTGGTACTTGTCATGGCAAAAGGAGAACCACTAAAAAACAATCATCCACTAGTGTCACCAATACTGTCTCGGTACGATAGGCCAGCCTGATTCCTGACTGAAAAGTTATATGATATGATATATTAACCATTTCCAGTTATCAACTCTGCAATTTTAGTTTGGAACAAGTTTCTTGTTTTCAAAATTATAAGCATCATAGGAATCCAGTTTTGCCAAATGTATTTGAATTTTTATGATTATACACATTATGGCAATAACCAGGATGTCTTCTAATGGTAGTTGGCCCTGCCAAACATTACAGTAATCCTCAGTTAATGACCCCTCATTCAGCAACCATTTGAAGTTAGATCAGTGCTAAACAAGTGCTACTTACATCCGACCCTTGAAATTCCATCTGTCTCTGCACACCCATGGACATGATCCAGGTGCTTGGCAACCAGGTGTTACTTAAAACAATTGCAATGTCTGGCAGTCACTTGATCACTATTTGCAACCTTCTTTGCTGGCTTCTCACAAGCAAAATCAATGGAGAAGCTGGCAGGGAAGGTTGCATGTGCTCCCGCTCCTTTTTCTCCTGAGGAGCTTGGCTAGGAAACTCATACCGCATAGAATGCAACAAACACACACACCCCTGCACTCTGTAGTGTGCACGTATCAGTCCAGTTGCACTTGTACCACGCTACAGTATCCTTGTACTCACGCCACAACAGCTACTAGGGCACTCTCTTACACTCTGGAAACCCACCTACCCAGTGGACTTATAAAATAGCAGCTACCTACCCCCACCTGGTTGTACTCCTCATCCACCCATAAGCAATATGGGATGTGAGATTTCCTACCATCTTCCTCATTGACTTTGCCTGTTGGAAGTTGGCAGGAAGTCACAAGCTGTGGACACATGAGGTCCTCACTTAACAATCTGTGATCCTTGCTTAATGACAGCAACCAAGATTGCTGGAATTGCCAAGTGATGCAGTCATAGGACATAGTGCTTTACAACCGTTATTGCTTAGCAATGGAAATTCTGATTCCAATTGCCATGATTAAGTGAGGATTAGTACCAAATACAACAACTTCTTAATGGAATTCCTAAAGACTAAAGCTCCTGATAATTAAATCAGTGATGAGAAAGTCATGTTTTTCAAATGATGTTGAACTACAACTGTAATAATTTCTAAGCATAGGTTATTATAGTTAGGATTAAAAGGAGTTATAGTCCAACATATGGGGGGTCAAAAGTTCTTCAATCTTGAATGAAATAAAGATCAACATGAATCTCTGAATTTAGTTCAATTCTGATTAAGATTGACATCTCAATAGAGATGTATTAATAATTTAACACATCTAGAATTTGGAATAATTCAAATTTATTGTACAGAGGAATATTAACAAAAATACTAAAGACTACCAAATTAGTAACCCTTGAACACTTACTTTAATAACAGTTTGCTCTGTAATCACTGAAAAGAGAAAGTTTATTTCCAACACTGAAGAAAACTTTAATGCTAATTTTGCCTTCAAGTGCAGGTCTAACCTTACTTTTCATCAACTTGAAATCTTCATATTTATACGTTTGTTGAAGGTCATGCCTTGGTGTGATATGAGAAAAACGTGGACTAGAAGGAAGGCCTTCTCAGTGGTTCTATATACAGTACAACATGGAATATACTGCTCAAACAGCATACCTAGGCACCTCTCCTCTAACATTTAAACATCTTTTTTGTGTCTAAACTGTGCTAAGGGACCAGTATGCCACTTTATTAAAAGGGGTGCATTTTATTTTAATGTAACTGAGATCACTAGAATGCTTATTTATTATAATTGGGTAGTACATTATTTTTGGGGGGATTTTACAAATTTCAATATTTTTTTCTTCCAAACTGTCTATTGAGAATTTTCAAACCATGTTGACAGCTTTTCTCCTTTATATAACACTAAAAATGAACTTACCTTGACCAATAACTAATATAGCTATTCCTTTCTCGAGTTCTTCGATTCCCTTTCTATACCATTCAACAGCCTGTTCCTTTTGTCCTGCTGAAAAAAGTGAGTTCTATTATTTTATTGTGAAAGCACACCAGACACTATACAAAGCATAAGTATCTGTACCACCATAACCAAAATTTGAAAGAAAATATAAACACAACTATTCCAACTAGTCTTAGACAAACATTGAGAAATTTAAGTAACTTTCTCTTATTAAAACAAAGATATGCAGGGGAAAAAATACTTTAGAGTAACTGTGATCCTTCTGTAGTTTGCTGATAAAAGGTAAATGCTAATTTTGCAAACAAGATCTGTTCAATTCACAGCATTTTAGTAGACAATTACATCTAAGGTAAATTGTCCTGTCCCAAATCTCACTATAGGCATAGGTCTGAAGTCCATCTATATAAACTCCAGAAAGCTCGGATAATGGCGAATGGAGATTTGACAAAACCATGTGAAATCCAGAAAGGAACAAGACAAGGGTGTTGTTTATCACCTTTATTATTTATTTTAGTATTGGAACTGTTAAATAGAGATATTAAACAAGGTAACAGAGCAAAAGGACTACAAATTAAAGTGCACAATTACAAACTATGTGCATTTGCTGATGATTTAGTATTAATTGTGCAAGACCTGCTCAAGAACATTGAATATGTTACAAGGAAGATCAAAATATTTGGAGAAATGGCAGATTTAAAAATGCACAACATTTTAGCAGACAATTACATCTAGGGTAAACTGTTCTGTACCTTATTATAGGTATGGAATTTAACTGAGACATGTTAAATTTATTATTTTTAAAACAAGTAAATAATAGTGGCATAATGACTACATCAGACTAGAATTACATCAGAATCAGTGAAAGGCAATGTAATCTAAATACACTAGCTAAAAAGTATACAGCTGACAAAGTCAGCACTATATCACTGCCATCATGGAAGCCTACTCAGTTGGACTTTTCTTTTATTCAATTTTCCACTGACTCTTTTAAGGAGTATCTCTCAAGGGACATAGAGAAACAGATAATGATGACATCTACCACAGAAATAGCTTGAACTGGATTCCCTTCTTTATTCTCATTACCATTAGCTGGCCTTTAGAAATGAAAAATTAATTTATGTATATTTTTAAAGCACCTAAATGGCCAAGCTTGGTCCTAAATTAGTTCTAAGCTTAGGCAGTATCTCATATTCTAACTTAAGAAATAAGTAGTACCTGACTTCTAAAAATATTTCAAGACTCAGAGAATGTTAAAATATTCTAACAAATAAAGTGCAAACTTAAAAATAAAAAGTTATTTGAGTCCAGCAAAGATGAAAGGTTGAAGACAAAACATCTAGAGCAAAACATTCATTGATGCACAGATTTTTTTTACTTTGGTTCCAAATACACCTGTTGCCTACAGTGTTAGTGATACTATCTGTCATTTATTCAAACTGTTAAGCCTATGAAGTCACTAAAATGTCATGAGTTGAGTTTACCTTAAAGGATATTTTTATGTGGGAAAATATTATGCCATTAGATAGTTTTTTCAATTCTTGAGAAAACAGATGAACATTAATCTAATAAACATAGCCCTCCTATTTTTTATGAAGCAATACTGTTTTTATATTTCTCCCTCTCACAAATTAAGCCAAGACACCACTGTTACATTAATTCACAATACTCTCACCTGGTATGTAAGACATGCTTAGGCTATAATAGCAGTTTACAGTACTGTACTATAATAATCTTCCAGAAAAACAAGATGTGAGTGGAATTGAATCTGTAGATAATTATACTTCCTGAATCTTTTCCCCTATATTTGCCAGTATTGGTTAATCAGTGGAGGGGGGGAGAGGGAACAACTCAACTTGACCCCAACTGTTCTATAAAAGAACACTCAGAAATGACAGCTGCAAGCCACAAGCATTGTTGTACAATAATCAAAGTAATAGAGATTTTGAAAAAAAAAACCTCTATAAGCTATGGTTAGTGCAAATACAATTATCTTATCACTGAAGGGATTATTAACAAATTATGGAGTAAGATAATTTATTTGGAACACTGGTCACAATGTCTTAGTTTTCTATCTGTAGTTATAAAGTCTTCATTAAAACAATTTTTGTATATTTTATCTCCGATTTCAGAGGCAATTTTATTTCATATCTCTCTACTTGGATCCTATTCCAGAGGACATGGGTTGTGACATAAAAGGCATGCTTCCTCAAGATGACATGTAATTGAGGGAACTAGACTGTATACCCTCTCTGGCTGAATATACCAAGTAGGCAGAAAATACCAGAGATAGGCAGTACCATATAATTTATGTATGTTATGAAAGCTTTTAATATGATGTTAATGAAATCAGTAATTCAGAACTTTTTCTACACATGCCTGAAATAGAAGTATGAAGACATTTCATACTTTTCAAAATATTCAATTTGATTATTTGGGAACCAGGTGACATATTGTTCTCACTATATTTGTTGCTAAATATAGGTGAATATGGATGAACAGTCATTTCAATAGTGGGACATATATGCATTAGGCAGTATTTTTAATCTTAATTTATATATTACTTTTTGTTATTGTTAAGTTTATATGTTTTTCTTACTTCTGTTAGCTTGTATATTACAAGAAATATTATATTAAATAAAACACAGTTGTGTTTTCATTGCTAGCATTCAGAAGCCACTGTATAGCTAGCACCTTGTCCTAAAACATGAGGAATATGTTCAGATGTATTTTTCTTTTTCTTGACTTTAGTTCAAGAATTAAAGGGCAACCGGAGCTATTAGAATAAGAGAAATCAAATCTGATGGGTTAGAACAAGGGTCTTCAAACTCGACAGCTTTAAGACTTGTGGACTTCAACTCCCATAATTCCTGCGCTAACATGACTGGAAGAGGAATTCTGGGAGTTGAAGTCCACAAGTCTTAAAGCTGTCGAGTTTGAAGACCCCTGGGTTAGAAGTATCCTAACACCAAATTTACACTTGTGTCTGTAATTACCATTAATCTCTTTATAACTAGCATTTATGAGGGAGACACATGCTTAGTAAAAAAATCAAGCATCATTGCAAGAGTAAACCACAGTTTCTCCACATAGAAATAGAGATCCAAGAATGCTAGTGATTACATCCTAACCCAAAGTTAATCATGGTTTACTCAATTTACCATAAACTAACCACAGTGGTTAAATATGAACAAGGTTAAAATATGAATTGTAGGCCTGTATGTCATGCAACCACAGCCAAAGAGACAGGGAAAATCATCACTGTTGTTAACATTTAATAAAAATATTTCACCCTATGGTACTATGTAGAATTAACTGAAGTAAATCTGCTGCTGCATACATACTATTGTTGCAGAATAGAAAGAGCAGAGCAGAAATTTGCATCAACTTCTAAAAGCAAGTTTTAATTTTTTTTAACAGATATAAAACTAAAAAATTAAGTAAAACAATTACTGCCATTAATAGAACATTTCTACATTTATTAGCACATGTATGTATGCTAGTTAAATATCTGGCATTTTCAATTTTTAAAATCTTAGGTAACAATGATATGGCAGATTTTTGTTTGAAGAATTCTTGGCTTTCAAATATATTACAATTGGACAATAATTAACTAATGGTCTAATTCAGTGTAAGGTAGCTGTATATATTTTCCAACAAATATAACTTGCATTTCTCACTTTCAAACAAGTAGACACAAGTGTTATTTAACCATTATTCCTTCCATTTTGTGTGTTATGAACTGCCTTGAATATATTTTACAGAAGGCAAAGATGAATAGATCTAATCAAGATAGTGATGCTGATCAAAATTAACACATCAAGTTTCTTCTATTTCAATAAGATTTCTAGCAACATATCTCACAAAATCTATACATCTGCAAAGTATAGATATTTAAGCACTTCTATCAATGGGTTTAGCTCTGCCTCAAAACTTTACAGTCAGCAAGCTATTAATTATTGACAGTTTGCAACTGACAAGACACAACTTGTACCATCCACACTCCTCCTAATATTAACATACTCCCACTTAAATTACTGCTATACAGCAAGCCAATCCTAAGGAAAATGCCATTTTGGATCATTTGCCTCCAGAAGTCACCATTCAACAGGATTTATTGTTCTCTTCCGTAATGATAGCCATAGAGCCAGTTTGGTGTAGCAATTAAGGCATCAGGCTATAATTAGGGAACAGTAGTCCCACTTTAGGTATGAAACTACTGTAGGTGGGTGACCTTGGGCCAGCCTCTCTGTCAGGGCTAGGTAAGGAGAAAAAAAAAACTAGCAAATCACGTCCAAAACTGTTTGCCAAGAAAACTGCAAATCAAATAAATAAATAAATAAATAAATTTATCCAGGCAGTTAGCTGCCAGGAATTCAAAATCAATTGAAAGGCAGCCCTATCTTAAAAAAAAACAACCGTGGTAGCCAGAGAAATAATATAACACCATAAACATCTAAGCTGTAGAGTCACTACAGAAGAGATTGCATGAATAAAACGCAACCTGAACCTAGAGAACAAAGAGACTTAATCCAATACTGTAGCACAAAGTCTCTTTCAGACTCACAACAAAGCCTCCCCTTAGATGGGCTCCACCCACAAGCCCTTCCTATCAACATCTTTCATGCAGAGGAACAACCCTTTTACTGCTGCTGTGGTTGTAAACGTGGGTCTTCTCTGCCTCGGCAATCTCGTCCCTTCCCGTTATACACCTGTAAACAAGAGCATCTCTACCCCACCCACCCAGCCCAGTTAAGGCTGTTTGTTAAAGCGATGACCATCGCTGCTGGCACTCAAAATCCCGATGCGAGCTCCATCCTCCTCAGCCCCCTTCGCCTCGCTTTCTTAAGGCGCGAGTCGCTCCCGCAAGCGAAGCAGCTCTTAAGGCACAGCCATGTTAGGCGACAAGCAGGTGTTCGGCCCTAATATAGCGGCAATGCCGGCTGTCGCTTCGCCGCGAGCCTGAGGGGAAAACGGGGGCTATGACGAAGCAGAAAACCGAGCCTGCTTCGAGACGAAAGGAAGGCGAAAAAGGAAGGCTTTCCCGAACAGCCGGAGAACCTCGCAGCCTTCCCGCGGTCTCCTCGGGCAAGCTAGCCCGTCCGTCGGTCCTGTCCACTCTCCTCCCCCACCCCACCCCACCCCCAGACTTAGCTTACCCGCCTCGTCTTCGTCGATGCGCAGAGCCGTGGAGATGCACTCGAAGGCGCGCTTGTGACAGGTTCGTACCGACTCGGGCGCATCGCCTGCCCGGCTGGTGCCCTTGGCGGCGGCCATCAACGCCCCGCCGCGGGAAAGGCGCTCGCACAGCCAGGCGAAGAGCAGCCCGAGCTGGAAGGCGAGAAAACGAAGCAGCGCGAAGACGGCGAAAAGCGGATACGAGAAATAGTAGAGATTCCGCTTGTGAGGAGAAGCCACCGCCGCCTGTTGGCGGTGTGGGGAGGAAGCCGGACCGGCCGCGGATGCAGGGGAGGCTCCGGCGGCCCGAGTCGGGGAGCTGGAGGCGCTTAAGCCCTTTTTCTTCCCTCTCCCTCCTGGAGAATTCATTCATCACCACCGTAGCCATAACCCGCTGCCAGGGACTGACAACAACCACCTGCGAGGGCCTGCCATAGCGGAGGCTACGCCCCTTTTTTGCTCAACCCCGCTATCTCTCACACGCGCGGACGAAAAAGTCTACGTAGCGAGCCTTTCTGAATAAGAAACCCCGTAAGCTCCTTTCGGAGGTCTATTGTTAGATATATAGGGCGATCGACGCCGGAGCGCAATGCTTCTTTTCACAGGAATATCGGAAGTTTCGGTTCCGCTCCACGTTAGGAAGTTCGCCCTTTGTGTGAGAGCGATGCAATCTGGGTAATGTCGTTAAAGAACGTTTGCCTAATGGGAGTCAGAATGTTTTTCCTCGTGGTGTCTTGTCAGATGATCCTAGAAATGTGGTTGCTTTATAAGCCCCTTTTACGTTTTCAAAATCAGCAAGAGTTGCCTCTCCCTTGCTGTAAACTAAGGCATATAATATACGTTGCACCGAACTCCATGGCCTGATTTGCACATCCCAATAAATAGTAAATGTGGTTGCTTTCGGCTTAATATTGAAAGATGAAGAATTGGGAATTTATTATTTATTTATTTATTTTATTTGTCAATCACTTCCAAGATAATAGACATAAGTATAAACATGAGTTTATACAGAAAATAGGTACGAATAAATGGGGACAATAGGTCAGGGATGGTAGGCACGATGGTGCACTTACAGACCTCTTAGGAATGGGTTGAGGTCAATAGTGGTTAGTTTGAGGTTAAAGAGTGGGGGTTAGAGGATGTAACGAGTCAGGTAGTGCATTCCAGGCATTTTAGTGTTATGTGAGCTATGCCATTATGGTTCAGTCAGTGTATCATTGTTTTAAAAAAGCATTTGTAAATGTAGCAAATATAATTCCTATTTAGCCTTATCTTTAATTTTAGGCTACTTTGCCTTTCTTTTCTTTCACTTTTTATAGTATTCCAGATGTGGTCTAGATTAGGTCAGGTGCTGAGTTTGCCTGATCTTTGCTTACTACCTTTGCAAAATGGCTTTTGCAAGCAAAAAGTATTAAGGGAGAGTAAAGTATTTTCATAGGGTACAGAAACAAATCATACATTACGAATATGCAATGCATATGAAAGCAATCAATAAAATACATTGATTACATGTGACAATAGAATGTAGGAGGTTAGCACCCATCCCTCTCCTAGAAAAATGAAATATCCTAGGAAATATTAAAAAGGCAGAATATTTCCCCTAAAAAGAAAAGTAGAAACTCAGCCCTCCACTTTGCTAATGGACCATTACTCTGGCCTAGGCCAGTCTATTTTACATAACAAAGATCTCCAGGTAGAGCTATAATAGGAATTGCCCAAAGCCCTTTCATTACATCATCCAGCAAGGCTCAACCAAGTCTGGGACTCAGGACAGCCTACAGAGTTGCCCCTGTATGGCCCCCATGGGAATCTGACAACCAATTCCAGAATACATGCTCAAATCCAAATCCCAACAGAGGGCATAAAACCAAGGGTCTCTCAGCATCTCTTCCCTTTTCACCAAGGAGCAACAAGGCATATATATATATATGATCCTGTCCACCATTAAACCATCTTTCCAAACAGCCTCCATGTTTCCAGAGTCTTTTTCCCCACTTGGAACTGAACCCAGAAGGATAATTCTTTCAACAGAACAATAGAAAACATTGATTCTCGATACATTCAACAAATGGTAAATTTATAAGTTGCATTATTTCTTTTTCCAGTTAGGTTTATATTTTCCTTAAAACTTGCAAATGTGTTAAAGGAATACGTTCAGAATATGCTCTCTCGTTTAGTTTATGAATAAGTTAGTTTATAGTTTATGAGTAGGTTATTTTGCAGATTTAAAAAATGGCTTTAGCTGAAACATTTGATTTCAAAAAGGCATGGATGCCATGTTAAAATGCTAATATATTTCCTATTAAAAGGTTAAGCCTAGAATTCTCAGTAGTTCGGAGATAAAATAAGGGTTTAGCCTGTTTAGTACAGACAATCCAAATCTCCAGTTTTGTATAGTTATGTTACTGCTATGCTACTTCCAGGTACTATAGAAATAGCTACTGTATAGCAGTTGGCACTGCTACATTTTTCATCACCACTTCTGGTTCTTCTCTATTACCACAATATCTGGTAGATTGGCTAGTATCTGCCTGTCCATCTGGATTTGGAAGTCCCACAGGATTTTAGCCCTCTTATTCTCCATGACCTTCTGTAGAAACTCCCATCTGGACTTGGAAGGCTCTAGTCCAGGGTTATCAAACTCAAGGCCTGGGGACCGATCTGGCCCGCGGGGCTGCCCTGGAAACAACAAAAGACCAGCCCACAGTGCCTCTGCCAATGAAAATGGAGCTTGGGAGGGCTGCCTGTGGCCCTCCTGAGTTCTGTTTTCGCTGGCAGGGGGTTACAGAAAGCTTAGGAGCCCGTTTTTGTTGACAGAGTGCTCAGACCACCACAGGCACCCGTGACATGAGTGACATTGAGCTGGCCATGCCCCCCCTGGCCATGCCTCCCCCCACAGGGCAAACACAAACCTGATGCGGCCCTCAATGAGATTGAGTTTGACACCCTGGTCTCGTCCATACATTGTGCAGATGTTCCTGAATACAGTGCTACTTGTTTATGCTGTTCAGTGTATGCTGCTCCTGCCTGCATCCTATACTCTGCCGCTATGTATTTGAACTGTCCCTGAAGCTACTCTATACATGCTGCAGCAGTGACAAATGTAGCCGCACCAAATAACAGTAACATCAGGAATAAGGTGCATGAGAAATTGGACAAGTACTGGGACCCGAAGGATGTGGAAAGTAAAGGCCAAAGTGATCCCAGTGGTGGTTAGGAGCACTCAAGCTGTAATTCCTGGGCTGGGAGATTACCTCCAACAGTTCTCCCAGGTATAACAGCAGAGTTCTCTATCCAGAAGAGTGCAATGCTAGGAACACATATCGCCCATAGGGGTAAAAAGGCAAATTTACATCATGTATCACAAGTATGAAGGTGAAGTTCATCTGTTGTTTCTTACTATAAAACCATGCTGCCACAAGATGCAGTCAGATTCAACATCTTGTAGTTCCTGTTTCTCTTAAATCTATCAACACATCTTAAACACCTGTAGTGATAGAAACACCTTCAATAGGGCAATTATTCTCAAACTGCTTTTAAATATGGCACGCTTTACTTTTGACTAAACTTCATTCTGATGCACAAAATTATATTTTTATCACCTCCCTCTTAAAACTTGTTGCAAATTCAATTTTCTGTAAACACCATTGAACTTAATAAAACTTTTAAATATACATGGCTAGAATGAGAAAGAGAAAAGATGGCAATCTGTCACACAGACCCCTTGAGCTTTCTACACTATAGGATTATATTGTCACTACTGCATCCCAGTATTTTCCTCCCTTGATTCAGTTAGTACTACTAATGAACAATGCCTGGTTCACATAAGCCAAGAGGAGTATGGAGATAACCTTGAAGAAGAAATGCAAGAACATTAAGCAATTGACAATTCAGAAGGGTGAGAAATAAACTCAAGATAATCCTGCCTTGATTCTGTTTGGTATAAAGAAAGCAGAGAGATACTCTTGCAGGATTTCAAGACTGTTATTATGTCCTATAAAAATAAAGTACTCCTTGTTATGTATTCCTGGACCTGGCCTATCTTGAAAGGCTGAAAACGAATAAGCTTGCTACAATGAATAAATCTCATTTGGCCAAGTCTATCCAATGCACTAAACTAAAATCAAGTAAAATAGATTCCAGCTTAGTGTATCGTATTTTACCAAGCATATGCTGCAGGCACAAGCTTCTTAGGATTTTCTGCAATTCATAGGAGGTTGCATCAAAGAACTACAATAAATCCTCATTCCTTCCAACTTTTGAGATCATGTCCCCAATCATATGTTGTAATTAATCTCATTCCAAGAAGCATAAAGTGATGGTGGCTTAATAGTAAAAAGTGTTTATCAAATCTTGCAACATATTAGTGCCGATATATTCTGAATTGTGCAATAAATCAGGGAAGGAGTAGAAAACTCTACTCTTTCTTTCCAAGGGATTTCATACAATGATCAATCCTACTCCACCCACCCAAAGAAGCTGGAAACTTGCTTTCTGCTCTCCTTACCAGAAAATTCAACTATGAATTATCCTTTGAAGACAAAAAGTACCATTCTGGTTCTGCAGCCAGCAGAAAAGAGCTGATGAGTTAAATTATATTTGATAAGTGTGTCCTCCTAGTTGGCACCTCACTGAACAGTGGAATGTGCTAAGTAATAATTTTATGAAGATAGTAGAAGTTGTTACTTTACAGTAATTTTGCATTTGAGAATTCATTCGGGATCAAGCTGTTTATTTATAACACATAAATTGCCTCTCTAAACGTCAGAATCTACATAAGGACTCTTCAAATTTTCAATGTGGAGAGCTGGTATGCAACAATCCAGACTATCATTAGAAGACAGCAAATATACAGGAAACGTCAAGTCGACTGGACTCTAGCTGCCCAGTTCCGATAGCCCCACCTTTTCCCATGTGAGCTTTTCTAAGCAGGGAAAACACTGAATGCTTGTAAGTTAAAGAAGCCTATTGCAAAAAACCGAATCCGTACTTAATTCAGAACCCAATTCTGCTTCGTGGCGAGGTCTTTAGGTGATAGCTTCTTTTCTGTAGATTGTCAAATTTATAGCAAACGTCTGAAAATAAGGATGCTTTAACCCTGATCAATTATGTGACTAAACACCATTTTACTTTCGAGGATGCACAGCCCGCATTTCACACATCTCAAACCATTTTCCCAACAGCCTCCACTCGCTCGGCGCAGCGCTTGGGGGAGGAGACATTTCATTATTACGCAGGCGCACAAATAAGCAAAAAAAAAAAAAAAAAAATCGGTGGCCCGTGAAGTGCGACATCCTTCCTAGTCCATGGCACAACATTGTACGACAACCAATATCTTTTTACGACTTGTAACGGACGGTTGTTTTCCTTGTTGCTCCGCGACGGGCCGTTTCTTGCCAGTTATAGCTTTGGACCGAATTTAGTTGACGAAGGGTAAGTACCATAAGAGGAATACAGGCGCTTTGAAGCCTTAGGGCAAGGGTACATCCCGCAGCCACTTCTTTCCTTCATGATTGATTTTAACTGCAAATAAAAACCGGCTTTTTTGTGAGGGCGCCCAGTAAAAGCTGCCACCCGATCTCCGCTTACTTGAAATCAATCGGGCTTCCTTTAGAATTAATAAATATACATCTCATCCGCGGGC